AGGAATGCTACAAGGGTTTGACTGAAATTTGGGACACTTCTGGTCCCACCAGCCTCTATGGCCAGGACTTCAGCTCCTGATGTAAGGACTGAATGTACCACATTGCATTTGTACTGACTTGAATATCCAAGCTCTCAGATTGATTTTATCTTCTATTTTTCAATATGAAAATACTGCTAGAAACCTTCAGAGTGCACTGGAAAGGCAGAAAGCTTCCTTTTGTGAGGTACTTCAAAAATCCTCGTTACTTGGAAAGGTGGTTTGCATAAGACCTAGAGGGTGCACATCAAAAATATGGAAAAAATAAACCTGTAGATATTGTCAAGATTTTAGAACCATTTTTAAAAGAAATTCAAATCCCATTGTTTTTGTTCACAACAAACTTTTATGACCAGCTAAATCCTCCCTTCCCTTGCAGTAGGGTGCTACACTTGCTCCAGTGGAAGAGAGGGAAGGGAAGACAGAAAAATAACAGTTGAAAACATACAAATTGTGATGGATAGAGGAATGAAAACTGGAGAAGCAAAAACATAGGGAGGAAAAGAGAAAAAAGGTCAATCAAAACCCAAGCAAAACTTTTTTTTCACTTGTCTCCTAAAAAGAATAAGGGGCAAAGTGATAAACGCATCATTTCATAAATAGTCACGGAATACAGAGCTAAAAGTGGTGCCAAAACCTGGAAGTGCAGAAAAAAATACCTGCAAATCATTTTCACTTACTGCTCTGCACTCACAAAACTGGAAGAAGGACCAGCTGAGGATATGCCCATTACCAAGATGAGTTTAAGGCTATGTGCAGTGTTGTCACCAGTTCCTTCAGCTCCTGTAGCACCACGAGCTGCTGGAGAGCAGAGAGCTCTGCCCACACACCTCTCCCAAGCTCCTGCATGATTCTCACCCAAAGGTATCTCCCAGAAATCTGCCGTGCTGAGCTCCCTGTCCATCATTAACAAATTAAATGTCCTTGTCTTGCATGTAGGGGGTTTAGGCACTTTGGTATAGCACCACGAGCTGCTGGAGAGCAGAGGGCTCTGCCCACACACCTCTCCCGAGCTCCTGCATGATTCTCACCCAAAAGGTATCTCCCAGAAATCTGCCATGCTGAGCTCCCTGTCCATCACTAACAAATAAAATGTCCTTGTCTTGCATGTAGGGGATTTAGGCACTTTGGACTTTGGTGCAGAAGTCCACTGTTCCATGGCACAAAGCTGAAAAAGTCTCAGACCTGGAGCAGGACCCTCCAGTACCACAGCAGCAATAACCCAATGGCCCTTGCACTCCCCAAATTTCCCCATGTTTAATTCAATTTTGTGGTTCTTATCAATTTATCCTGATCTATGCCCCCCCCAAATGTGCTTAGTTGCACCAGACACAGAAACACTGGCCAGGATCATGCTTTCTTTTCCCCAGATGAATAGGCTTTTGGAATACAGTAAATATGAAAGTTTCTTTCTTTAACTCAGAGAAGAAACTCAAAGGACCCTCACAGAGCAAGTAGCACATATGCAAAAACAACATCATGGTCACTTCAAACAGGCTGTGGCAAAATTCATAAAAATTTTTATGCAACCATCTCTTTTAAGTCACTTGAAGTACATTGAAATTCTTCTTTAATTTAGAGGAAAACAAATATATCCTGCTAAGGAATGTTTAATACACCAGACTTCAGAAACTTCTCAGTGCAGGTAAGCAATGCCACCTCTATGATGTGGACAACAGAGCTCCCAGACAGGTGAGTGAAAAAAACCATCTCTTTTAAGTCACTTGAAGTACATTGAAATTCTTCTTTAATTTAGAGGAAAACAAATATATCCTGCTAAGGAATGTTTAATACACCAGAATTCAGGAACTTCTCAATGCAGGTAAGCAATGCCACCTCTACGATGTGGACAACAACAGAGCTCCCAGACAGGTAAGTGAAAAAGCCACCAGCTACTACTAGTCTGGGAAAAACAGAACAAAACTAAACCCCAAAGTATCTCAAATTCGAGGAACATCACACTCCTCCTGCCTTTGTCAGCCTCTCCAAAGACCTGCATTTTGGGGCACAGGGAGGTGTTTTGGGTTTTTATTACTGGCCTCTCTCCCTGTTAGTGTCCCCTGGTGGGACTCGTTTCTCAGGTGACTCCCACCAGTTGTGTGCTGTTCTGCTACAGCTGAACCAGCTGCTCTCCTGGGTTCTTACATGGCCACATAGCCTCTCACAGGGCATTTCTCATCATCAGTCTGTAAAATATTTCTGGATAATTCTCAAGGATAATGCAGCCTACCTAAATATTCCTTGGATCCCAGTTATTTAAGCAAAGATTTCAACTTTGTAATTGAGTCAGACCTTGTCAAATTAGTGAAAGACAGAGGGATGTTGCTACAGGATTCTTTTATTTTATCATCATTGTCCTTCTGCAGCCTCCTGACAACAGCCATGGCCCTGCTGTTCTTCAGAACAGCCAACCATTATTTAAGCTGTCCCAGATCAAAATAGAAATTTTCTATTTATATACGTGTGGAAGCACAAAGAAACATTTGCTGCAGCTTCAGTCAGGTGCATCTGAGCATTAATGTGTCCACGCTCTTTCATGCCAGAAGAAAACACACTCTGAAACACATCTCCTCATCATCCAAAATTTCTCCCTGCAGACAGCACACCAAGCCTTGCCAAAAACCCCACCACACATTGTTGAGGATGTCTGACCTTCCAAGATACAGAGATTCCTCCTCTCCTCTCCCACAGTGTTTCATAATAACTGAGTAAGTTTTCCTGGAGTGCAATTCATTTATTCATGAAACAGATATAAATTCAGTGACCAGATTTGCAGAAATGATTCAGATGGAAATAGTTTTGAACACAAATTGCTCCCAAGCATCTTTTTAATCACACAGATGGTTAACCTGGGAACCACCAACTTTCTACCTCTTCACCAATGTAGCAAATCTTTATTTTCTTCCAGGACAAGTGCTCCCTTTAAGTCAACTGTCTCACAGCTCCATTTGTAACCAAACACAGGAGGAAAATGTGTGTATGCTGAATGCACACGTGCATACAGAAGAAGCTTGCTGAATAGGCAGGATAAAATAGAGGCTGCATTGTGAAACTTGAAGCAGACAACACAACCATTCTCCTACCCTGTCATCTAGGCAGAAGAATACTGAGGAAAGTGGCCTGTGTTTAACACCCTGACTCAGACAAGCTTGCTAAGGCTAACAGATCGTGGCTAACCCTT